AAAAAAAAAAAAAAAAAAAAAAATTTCTAAATTAAAGCTAATTAAGGCTCCTTTAACCTTTATGAGATAAGATGAATCATTTAGTTCTTTTTTGGGTTTTGTTTTAAGTTTATATAAACTCTTAATAAGCACTGGTTATATGTTGTTCTTTGCCATATCAAGTGGCAGATTAATGGGCCATCTGCCATAGATACCAGTGCTCACTTAACTACATATATTTGATTAATCTGTCTTCTTCACTTTTCAGAGGATACAACTGGTTTCATTTTTACAAAGGCACATTAGGAAAAATTAATGACAGCTCTTAAAGGCTCAATGATTGGAACAGTTGAGTAGGTGAAAAAGAGAATTCCTATAAAAAGAACTGGTCACTGTGTACTGTATGTGCTTTTGGGGTTTGTTACTTTTATCTGTAGTCATCTCTAGAATTGTCTGAAAGCTTGCAATGCAATCTAAGTAACTAGCCTTACAATCAACTATTTAAATCTTCTTATTACTGATAATAGTATGCAATAAGATGAAATAATACACTTACTGGATACTTTACCCTAAAGAATAAAATCATCACTTTGAGAAAATCAAATTGCTTCATGACTTTATCACATTTCAATTTCCAAGTTTAGGCTATAAAATTTTCTTATTAATCATTTTAAAAAGTCTTCTTTAGCAGGTTTAGCAAAATTTTTGAAAAATCCTAAAATCCAGAGTTGGAAAGTCTATGTTAAAAATGTCCAGTTCAGATATATTATCAGCTTAAATTATTTTTCAAATCCAACAGAATTCTTAGCAAAAAATATATTTGCATATGAAGATCTAGTTAAATACCAAGAATTTTCTGCTATGCCAAATGTTCTGAAAGAATATCAACTTCAATATTAAACACGCCATAAATGAAGAACTTTTACTCTCACTACTTAAAAATTTAAATAAAATTTCCTTCATTAGGGTAATTTAAATGTTTTTTAGAATAGTAAATAACATCGCCTTTTTGTAGGGGGGGATGTGGTGCTAAGGACTGAACCAAGAGCCTCATACATGCTAGCAAGTTCTCTACCACTGAACTACATCCTTAGTCCTTGAATTTTCAGAAATAGTGATTTTACACTTGTTTTTTAAGATATGTAAGCTATGGCAGAGATATACTTGATTTTGTGGCTAATATTTCTTTGTAAGACCATATATTATAAGGTAAGATTTCATATTATATGTAGAAAGTGCTTTAGCATTGCCTTTGAATTTTATTAAAGCAAGACAGCCCAACTGGGTTGTTACAGAATTAAAGTTGGACTGGAATATTCTCATCTCACAACAATGACCAACAGGCAAAACTGGTTTTACTTTGTTGCTTAAAGGTGGTCTGTTTTAGCAGGCTACATCTACGAATAAATCTCACATGTTACTGCTTGAAGGTGAATCAATGGCTTTTTCTCCATTTATAGTCAATTGTTTTAATGGCCTAAGTTTAACAAGTTTTTAAAATTAATTAATTTTGGTTTTTTGAGACAGGGACTTGCTGTTAGTTCAGGTTGGCCTCAAACTCACAGCAATCCTCCTGCCTCAGCCTCCCAAGTGTACCACCATGCCCGGCTAACAAATTTTAAAACAGTAAATTGTTTGAATTAGATGTTTCTTAATATCTGAAGATAAGCTGTGAGCTTTAGAGAAAAACTGCCATGGAGCTATGCATAGTGGCACACACCTGTAATCCTAGCACTTGGGAGGCTGAGTTTGGGGCAATGAGCTACACAAGGGGCTACAGAATGAGGCATTCTGAGCTACACAATGAATCCATGTCTCAAAAACACCAAAACAAAATCAAACAAAACTGTTATGGACTTGTGTTGAAAGGATACTTGCTATGGGGGCTGATATGATCTGTGACCTACCTCCACTCTTTATGAGGATATCAAAGAGATCGTCCATCTGCTGACTATGTGCACTGGAAATCTACAGCAAAGGAGAAACAAGTTAGGTGTCTTTCATACAAACACAGAGGCATCATGCAATTGGGGCTACTAAGGGACTTTACAGAATATTTCTAATCTATCATTTGATAATTTAGAGAACACTGAGGTCATTGAGAAGTTAAGTCATTTACCTGAAGTGTCACAGCTGAGGTCAACTAAGAGCCAAGCAAGAAATTAGCTCAGTTGACTCCCTATACTTCCCTTATTTTTTATTGCTGAATTTTGAGAGGCTGCTAATACTTTAAAAGTATCTTTATTCATTTGCATTTTGGTAAAAATTTGTATGTCTAAAGACAATCACATATATTTTCTCAGTTTTGAGACTTACCTGACATATAATAAGCTGTACTTAATGTAAATTATCCAATTTGTTTTGATATGTATACTCCTATGAAACCATCAACAAAAATCAAGATAATAAATACATCTGTCCCCCGCTGAAGTCTCCCCATACTCTTTTATAATGTTCACCTCCTAGAACCCCTCACTGACATGCTTTCTTTCATTTTGTTTTGTTTTGTTTGGTACCGGGAATTGAACTCATGACCTCATGCTTGCTAGGCAGGTGCTGTGCTGCTGAGCTATATCCCCAGCCCCTGACCTGCTTTCTTTCACTACAGGTTAGTTTTATAAAATGGATACATGCAATATGTACTTTTTTGGTGTGGAGGGGGACTACCTTCTTTCAATCAGTGTACTAAGATTAAGCCACACTGTAATGTATACTTTAGGAATAGTTCATTCCTTTTTATTGCCAAGTAGTTTTCCACTGTATGGAAATTTTTCAGTATGTTTATTCATTCACTTGTCCATGGACATTTGGGTTTCTAATTTTGGGCTATTATAAAGTTACTCTGAAAACTGTATACAAGTCTTCATGTAGACAGTTTTCTTATGGGCAAAAACCTAGGAGTAGCACGACTGGATCAGAGTAAGACTATATTTCTTTCTAAGAAGTGGTCAAACTGTCTTCCAGAAAGATTGTACCCACCAGCAGTGTGAGATTTCTAGTTGTTCTGTGTTCTCACCAACATTTCATACGTTCACTTTTCACATTTCAGACATTCTATGAAGTAAGCAGTGGTACTGGTGTGGTTTTAATTTGCATTTCCCTGATAACTAATAACGGTTTAACATTTTTTTTCATATGCTTATTTCTCATCCATTTATTTTCCTTGCTGAACTGTCTTTTGCCAAATGCAGGTTTCTTAAGCTTACTGTATGTATGGCATATCTTTTCCGACCATTTACTTTCAAACTATGTCTTATATTTAAAGTATGACTCCCAGAAATACACGCATTTAGTTATCTATTGCTGCATCAAGGATTATGCTGGAATCAGGCACATTTCTGTGGGTCAGGAGTTTAGGAAAGATTTAGATGGGTAGTTCTGGCTTTTGGTACTCATAACGTTGCAGTCCAGATGCTGGCTGGGATAAGTCAACTCAAGATTTGGCTGAAGAACATCCCTAAAAAGGTGGCTTATTCTCGTGGGTGGCAAGCTGCGCTGCCTATTGATGGGAGGCCTCAGGTCCTCTCCATCAGAGCCTTTCCACATGGCTGCTAGAGTTCACATGGCTTTTCCAGAGCCAGCAACCCAAGTGAGAGCAAGGCCAGCCCTGTTATGACCTAGTCTTTAAAGTCAGACACTATCCCTTCTGCCTTTTCTGTTCCTTAGACATGAGTCATTAAATCTAACCCAGGGAAAAATGTCAAGGGCTTTGCAGAATCATCTTAAAAATACCACGCAACATATAGTTGAGCTGGACTTTTTATTCATTCTGCCAACATAAGCATTTTCATAGGACTGTTTACTAGTGTTTACTGTAATTACGGAGGTGGGTAAATTTGGGTCTATCATTTTATTATTTTGCTACTATCCTATCTGTTCTTTGTTGCCCTATTTTTTCTCTTCTGTCCTCAAAAATTTGTTTTGGGTATTCTTTTATTTATTTATATTTATATGTTTGTGTGTTTTTTGAGATAGGGTCTCAGTATGTAGTGCAGGATTGCCTTGAATTTGCAGTGATCTTTCTGGTTCAGCCTCCCAAGTACTGGGATTATAGGTATGTACTACCACCCCTGGTTTGTTTTTGGTATTCCAATTTAATTTTTCTACTGTTCTTTTGAAGCTATACTGTGTTGTACTTTTTCACTGTTATTGTACACATACAATAAACATTGTTTTCACTACTTAATGTACCACTGCTTAAAAAATAGGAACCTCATGCCCATGTACATCCGTTTATTTTCTCTTGCATTTTCTATCAATTTTAAGTACTATGTCTACCCACATTATAAACTCAAGACAAGTGTTCTTTATCTGAAATTATCTTGAGTTTACTTTCATTCTTAAAGGGTATTTTCACTTGAAACATAATTCTGGGTGACAATCCCTTCCACCTTTTCCCCACTAAGAACTTTAAATCTGTTACATTCTTTTCTGGTTTCCATAGTTTTTAATGGAAAGTTGACATTCATCAATTAGTTGTTCTGTGTATAATGTGTTGCATTTCTCTTGATGCTTTCAATAATTTGACTGTAATGTGACTAGGTCTTCTATTTATACATCCAACATCTCACAACTACCAATCTGTGAAAAACTTGGCCATTAGTTTTTCAAATATTTAACTGCTCCATTCCCTCTTGCAAGGATTTCTCCTCTGCCTATGTTACAGTTCGGTACTACAAAACAGCCCTGGATTTGTTTTCCTTTTTGTCTTCAGAGTGGATAAGTTTTAGGGATATGTCTTCAAATTCACTGTTTTTCTTTCTGGTATCTCTACTTGCTAAGTTCATCTGTTCTTTTTTTCATCTTTTTTTGTTTCTTTGTTTTTTGTTTTTTTCTGGTACCAGGAATCAAACTCACGACCTCACGCTTGCCAGGCAGGCACTGTGCTGCTGAGCTAAATCCCCAGGCCCTCTTTTTTTCATCTTGATACAGAATTGCAGAGCCTTAAAAGTAACTGCTACATCTGTTAAGATCCCCTGTATTTTCATTCATTATGAGCATATTTTGTTTACATATTGGTGGATAGTTATACTAGCTGCTTTCAGATTGGTTTAGTCTCATCTCAGCTGATTGCCTTTTTCCTTAGAGGATAGGTGACATTTCCAGATTCTTTATATATTGCACTATATGAATGGATATTACAGATGTTAAATTGTGGATGTGAATTCTTTTATTTTTTCTCAGATCAGTGGGTTCTTTTGTTTTAGTAAGCTATTACCTTGGTTGGACTTTAACTTAAAAATGTTTCTTGGGTAGATGTCTCAATCTCAATGTAGATCTTTGTCTTCAACTAAACTGCTATGAGTCTATTCCTGTCTGCATGGCTTGGGGGTCAGCAGACATGGTGACAGACAGAATCTGGGCCTCTTTTCTCTGTTTTTTTCTCTGCTCGACTTGGTCCTGTGGCTTCTAGGCCATAAAGATTATAGTTTTGCAACCAGTGTCTCTGCCACTTAACTTGACCCCAGAGTAAAAATAGTAAAAAGAAACTTGTGCCACATAACTTTCCTTCTGTGTGTAGATTCCCCACCAGAATATGACTGCTTCTATTCACGCCTGACTGCCTTCATAGAGTTGCTTTTTTGAGCTTTTATCTGTAGGATGAACTACTGAGAGAATGAACCATTGTGGCTTTATTTAGCCATTAGTAGAACTGAGAAAATATATTTAAAAAACCTCAGAATTTTGGAGTTGGGCAGACAGTGGTATATAAAGATGTATAAAAATTCCTTGACTCATGAACAAGTTCTGTTCCTGAACATTCATAAGTCAGATTTGTTCCTAAGTTGGATTTGTTCATAAGTCTGACCAAGTGAGTCTCAGGTAAAGACTCTTCTTTTTTCCCTGCTTTTCTTTCAAGTCTTTAAACAGGTTTTTAGCTTTTTCTTGAATAAGCATTAAGCTGAGTGGGACCCGATGCTGCCACTGATCCTGTATCCACCGAGAAGTTTCTCCTTCTCCTCTATGACTCTACCATGCTTTTTAGATATTACTGTTGACTTCATTGGCAGCAGCCTTCATGTGTTTCGTGACCCTGTCCTTGTTCTTTAGAATTGTGCCAATGGCTGAGTGGTTCACGTTATAAGAATGAGCAACATCTACCATCTTTTCACCTTAGTCCAATCTCTCAATTATTTTCATTTTTTTTTCCATGGTTATTACTTTGCACCTCCAGGCAGTCCCCTCCACATCACTGCTGCTTTTCCTCTCACTGGGCTCTAACCGAGCATGGCATTACTGCACACAGTCGCACGGTACAGTGAGCACACAGCAGCGTAAGTGTGACAAGTCCGGCAGATGTGTGAGCTACTTCCAACATTTGCTCACAGCTATGAATGTTCATAAATCGATATCTGTTCATATCTGTGAAAGTTTGTAACTCGAATGCTCATAAGTTGGGGACTTATTCTGTAGTACAGATAGGTGCTCATTTGAAAACCACAAACCAATGCAGAACTTGTCTCCCTCATAAATGTGAACCCAGAAACATGTAGATACCAGGGATTCCAACTGGCTGTGTTAGCTTAAAGAAGTCTCCTTTTTATCTGAATCAATGAACCTACACGTGAGAATCACGTTCAGAAGGATGTATGTTTTCTTTTATTTTTGTAAAATCTATAGTTAAGTGCTCGGTAATTCATTCCTGCTCCCCTATGAAGAGAAAAGATGGACCATGGGAACAAACATCTGTGTCAATTCTTATTGAAGATATTTAAACCTATTTCTGAAATTTGGCTTTCCTTGCACAGATGAAGGTTCCTGCTGAGTCAGGAACTAAGGAAATATTTAATGACTAGAAAACTTATCTTTCCTTGGTACTAAGTGAGTATTAAGGGGCATATATGGTAGGTGCTTCCTCAGGCTGCCCATCATGGCCTTCAGCACAGCTGTGTGTCCTCTGTGAGGGTGCCAAAGTACACACTGCCCCAGTGCCACAGTTTCTGCTGATGCACACATAGGCTCCTGAAGAGTCCAGGCAATCGCCACATAGCTATGTGTACTCCCTGCTTGAGGGGGCTGGTTTGTCTGTTGCTCGCTGGAAAAACCGAGCCCCTGGCCCCAACTTCCTTAGGTGTAGCATGACCTACTGCATATGGTTACCATGTGGCCCCAATGGGTCACCTGATGGAACATGCAACATGCTAGTGGGCACAACCACGCTGATGTTCCTACTCTTTGCCATAATTCCCAGTCTTAGGTCCACTGTGCCCTGCTGACATGTTTAGCCCTTGTGCTATGAGTCTATTGTTGAAAGTAACTTTAAGTTTTAAGCTTTGAAGAGAGCTTCAGAGGCAGGGAAACTAGGAGGAGTGTTTAGGGAATTGATGACAAGTTTATGCTATTGTTGGGTACTTACTATGGGCCAGATGCTTTTTTTTGGTCTTTTTGAGACAGGGTCTTGCCAAGCAGTTCAGGCTGGCCTTGAGCTCACTTTGTAACCCAGGCTGGTCTCAAACTTGCAACACTTCTTCTGTCTCAGCCTCCTGAGTGCTGAGATTACAGGTGTGCACCACCATGCCCAGCACCAGATGCTTTTATAAATAGGAACTGTTAACTTCTCCCATCTGTTGGGATTGCTGTAGCTACTCCTGTTTCTCAGTGAAATAAAGAAAGCTGAGAGGAGGGGAAGCACCTTGCCCAAGGCCCTGGTCATGGGTGAACACTGAGCCTAGTGAATCCTGGAGAACCACAGATCTGTCACCTCCAAAATGCACTTGCCCAATCTAAGCAGTCGCCTGTGTGGGCTGCAGGGACTTGAAGAAATGAGGTGAGATCAAGTGGACTTAGGGGCTGGGCATCCTTCACTGATAGCCAGAGGAGGTTCAGTTCACTCTGATGATGACCTGACAAATGGTGGCTTTAGAAATGAGGGACCTCAATAAAATTCACGCCCTGGAACAATCACATCTTCCCCTTACATGACTGACCCCTTGTCCCAAAGGAAAAGTTAAAATCCAAACCCTGAATTTCTAAATAGAAAGTAATTACAGGTTATACCGCTATGACAAGTTCTTTGGGATTCTTTACAATAAATGACATTTCAATGTTAAATAACCAGTTAAAACATAAAGCTCCTAGCCATTATCTTGTGTTTCTACTCAGGCAAGTCAGTTTTAGACAAGTGAGTCAGTATAAGGCTGGTCAAAATTTGCAGGTGATACATGAAACAAGCCTTATGAACCACAGCCTCTGCCCTCACTTACCTCTGGAAGGGACGATTGTGCACTGCGCGTCTGCTTGATGGCTTCCTCATAGCGGGGCGGATCTTTTGTCTTTGTGACTGGGGTCCCAAACAGAGAGTGCTGGACGACAAATTGCTGGGGTGGTGGAGGTGAGCTAGGCTGTCATACACGAAGGAGGAACATGTATTAGCTCTTGGCAACAGGCCTGCTCCAGCCTGGCAAGACTCAATTCTGCTATCTTTCCCACAAGGGCTAACGCATGGAACTCACAAACAGCTTCCTTAAGCACCTGTGGCTGACCTTCCGTGGACAGCTCATCTACACTACAACCACAGCTGAGCTCCTCTTGACAAGGTGCGACCACTGTATTTTTAACTATGTCCCCCATCAGTACTGATACTCAGTCACTCCCAGCCAAAAGCACCTTGCACCCCAGTGAGCACTGTGGGGACTCTGGGCACACTGCAGTACCTTGCTGGGAGTGTTGGGTCCATTTTGCATGGAGGGGAGCGGGGTGGTTCTGGACTGAAGACCGCTGCTGGAGGTCTTAGCAATAAAGGGCTGCTGGACTGCTGGAGCAGATTGTCTTGCATATGGAAGAACTGGATTTGGTGCTGAGCTTGTGAAAACCTGTAATGAATACGTATTTCACCATCAATGTGTTCTTTTGCTTATCTTTTTTCCCCCCTCATCTTAATGAAGTAAAGAAAGCCACGTGTTACGGTAGGGCTCAGCAAAATTTTGTACAGGGGCACACAGTACTAGATGTAAGGTTAGTGGGCCATGTAGTCCCTTTTGGAAGCACTCACCTCTGAAGCAATATGGATAAGTGGGGGTGGCTGTGTGCCAATAAACTACAAAAGCAGGTAGTGGGCAGGGTTTGGCTTGTCCATCCCTGTATTTTAAGCCTAAGTAGCTCCTTTACCCAGTGACTTGTCTTTGGTGATTGTGCAGATGGCACTCTTAGGCGAGTGTTTGCTCATGATTTTTCTCTTAAACGATGGATTCTAGACATTCCTCACTAAGATGACCTCCTCTATTCTCATGGTTTTAACAGTTCAGATAAGCTAACAACCCCCCAGCCCGCCTCTCTACTTCCATCTTGCTCCCAAGTGCCAAATCTATATCCACATCATCCTCCTGGGTATGTCAAACTCAGTATGTTCCACACTGAACTTTCTCCTTTCCTCCCAACACCCAGCCTTGGAGGAATAGCAGTTCTTGGTTTTGCTTCAGGTTTTCTCCTTATATTCAGATGAATGGTGCCAAATGGTAACTACCTCTGCTTTTTCTACTTCCTAGAAACCCTTAGAGCTGGGACTCTGCTCTGGGCTGACCTAATCCAGGTCCTCACTGTCCCCCTGGCATGCTGCCAGAGCTCCTAGCTCCTGAAATCACACCCCTGGTCCAGCATCTACCACATCCATTAGCTCTCTTGCCTTCATCTGCCTGTCTAAGGAGCTGTTTTCTGTTGTGTAAGGCAGACGTGAGAAGAAACTCTGTGGGCTGCTGGAATGTTCTGTTTAGCTTCATCAAGAGCCCAAAGTTTTGGGCCCTTTTTCACAAATGTATGTGATACATTGACCATATTGCTGATATATTGCCGTGTTTCACAGGATGGGTATGGTGGTGCACACCTGTAATCTTAGCAATTGGGAGGCTAAGGCAGGAGGATCACCAAGAGTTTGGGGCTAGCCTGGGCTACATAGTAAGTTCAAGGCCAGACTGAACTACACAGCAAGACGCCGTCTCAAACAACACCAAAAACCAAACCAGAACAAATAAATTTTACATGATTGATAGCCCCTATATTTCTATCATAAATGTTTCTTAAGAAGTACTACCTCTATGTATGAGGAGTTCTACAAGTATGCTCCTATGTTAAAAAGTTGAATTTCCTTATATTTGTTGAAAATTTTTGTCTTTAAACTGGAAGTCATGATTTCTAATTCTAGTATTTTGAGACTTAGTGTCTAAGCCCTTACTTATCCTATCTGTATGTTGTTTTTCTCTTCTCCCTAAATCAAAGAACATTTATTAAACTGAGCTGTTCTGAAACTTCATAACATACAACTATGATTCCTTTTTGAACTGTATTTATTGAGGGACAGGGAGAGTTGTGAATGAGAGCACATGTGCTAATGTGATTGCTGCCGTCTATCCCTGAGGCTTAGCCTAGCCAGTTCAGACTATCCTGAGGCACAGAGACAGCATAATTATTAGGTTCTTTTATGTTTAAGATGAAAACTGGGACTCATAGTTCTCAAGGTTTAAAACAGAAGGAGCACCTGTTTTTGAGGCCTGAAGATTTTTCTGGCAAGGAGATGTGCACATAGCACCCCCTACTGGATGAAAGGGAATTTTGTTAACTTAGGAGCTACTCAACATCAGAATTTGGGGTAGGAAATCATGTGGAAGATGGTGAGTCCTACAGCAATACCATTTTAAAGATAAGGAAAGGAATGCTTGGAGGAAATGAACTTTGCATGAGGCCATGGATGGCAGAGATGGTGCACTGCCATGATAAAGCTTTCTGGCTCTTGACTATAAGCTCACAAATATACATAGATATAAATATCTCACTTGGGACAGCAATGTCAGATATCTCTTTTTCATTTTCAAATATCGTTTCCAGCCAGGCGTGTAGTGCATGCCTGTAATCCCAGCGCTTGGGAGGCTGAGGCAGGAGGATCATTTTGAATTCGAGACCAGCCTGAGCTACAAAGTGAGCTCACGGCCAGCCTGAACTGTATAGAGA